TATATTTATATATATATAGGTATATGTATTTCTGTATATGTATTTTTGAATCTGTATGTCTGTATCTATGTATATATGTATTCGCGTGTTTATGAAATGCTCACCACGTGTCAATGAAGTACCTTATCATTCACCCAGTTTTTATTCTTCAGATTCAGCCGTAAATATACAAGCACCAAAAATCAATATACTCATTCTGCCCACATTCCCGCCTCACCTACCCCAGATTCCGCGGCCATCAAGTAAACGAGATCCAGAAACTGCCGACGTTCAAGGAGGTGCCCCTGGCGGAGCGACAAAATCTGTTCAAGATGAAGATGCGCGAGTGCTGTATCTGCTTCGACTTCTCAGATCCGTTGCAAGATCTGAAGGGCAAGGAGATCAAGCGTACAATGCTTAACGAGATTGTGGACTACATCAGCGTCAATCGTGGTGTCATCACAGAGGCCGTCTATCCCGACATAATAAACCTGGTGTGTATTCATGGGGAATAAAGACCAATATTAATTTGGGTACATGCATATGTGCGAGTGCATGTGCTTGTGTGTGTGTCCTTAGTTTTCTTTTCCCTCTGTGCATCTACATGTCTGCAAACAAAATACATACGGATGCCTTTCGGAACGGGCATTTTACAAAGTTCTCTACTCACGGTTCTAGCTCCCTGCCTGTATTCCCTACTACAGTTTGGGTACAATGTATACAGAACACTTCCTCCGTCCCAAAATCCTTCGGGAGAGGCGTTTGACCCGGAAGAAGACGAGCCGGTTCTCGAATCGTCATGGCCCCATCTACAGGTCAGTTAATCATACTTCTATGGCACTTGTTCTCATGGTCGCTTGAAAACGCTGCAACATAAAGTGTATGGCTCAATATGAGGCCTCTAAATTCTCTCTGTCTCGGGCTGTGGTGAAAACTATCGGGCTCAAGCTGATTAGGAATTGTGCCTTGCGTTCTCGATTCAATTGCAGACGCGCATAAACAGGTCAATGCGGTCACTAAATTTGAAAACAT